ATCTTTATTGAGTGTATTACTAATTCTAAATAGAGAATCAGGGCATGGATGTGATTTTCAAGGCAAGAAGATATGATAACTGATATGTGGCATAAATTTCAGTTCCAAGTAAGTATTGTAGAATTGGCAGGAACTAGAGCCATGATGGTGTCTTGATGATGATAGAAGAAGTATTGGAGGTGTATCAACTTTATGCTCAAGCTTGAGAAAAAAGACAAATTTGAATCCTAATAGAGGATAAACAAAAGAAGTTGGTCCAAAGTTAGTAGGAAGTGGGACAATTTCAATAAAAAGTAAAATACTTGGCATAGACACAAGCCCAAATGTAGATACAACCAAGGACAATAAAGTAGCTAGAGTATTGAAGATGGTAGTGGAGGTTGTATTGAAGAAGTCAACCATAGTAGGAAGTAGAGACCTAGAAGGTATTAGAGTTGAAGGACTAGTTCCAAAAGAAACATTGTCAAAAAGGAACGGTGGCATTAATTGAAAATTGGTATCAACAACAATAAGCATTGTTATCTAATCTTTGAAAGGGAGGAATTTTTCTTAAAAGACTACATCAAGAGAGATTATGATAGTATCTATAGTTTTATTTTGAAGTTTATAGGCTTTTTTGAAAGAGCTATAATCTAAAAAAATATATTTGCAAGTTTTTACAGTGAATTTGATTTAAAAGAGATCAAGGATTTTTCTAAAGTATATGTAAAATGAGACTGGATTATCTCTAAGAACTAAGATCCTTCCAATCTATAGCAATATAAATCTTATCATAAGATAGGACAACATAGATTAAAATAAAATTGAATAGAATTTAATAAAATAGAATATGAAAGTCAGAACCAAAGAAAAAAGAATAAAACAATATTGAACAAAAAAGTAAAAAATCAAACTTCACTAAGAAAAAGGGACTAAAGCCATACTTGACCAGATATCCAAATTTTCTTAGCCAATCCTATTTATATTTTATCCAACCATCTTAAAAATTCTTGAATACTTTTAATAGTGGATTTGATTTAAATAATTGCCTTAAGATATTTCTAGAATGTTTTTTAGTGGATCCTAAATAAACCACTAACTTAGTCTCAATTCTTAAAACTTCTAAAAACTTCTAAAAATATTTTAAATATGGCTTCAACTACCTATATTTATGCATCGACAATACAAATATCTTATCCATATCTTGTTATAGTTAATTCCCTTTTATTAATGCGGAACATCCTTGTTTTGCTTTTAATGGTATATCCAAATTATTTCTTGATAATGGATGATGTTCTATATAGATTTCTATATTATATCATACATGGAATAAACTTTTTAAAGGACTTTGAATTTAAGTTGTAGATATCTATTACTATTGCAAAGGTAACAATGTTCCAAAATATTGTTCACTACATATTCTTATTGATCATTAATCACAATTGGTGGTGGTGGTAATTGATATCAGTCTAGAAAGTGCCTTGACTCAATATGAATTTTTTTGGCTATATTTTTTATGCACTGTTTAATAAATTCTAAGTTAAAATGAAGGAATTATAGGAAATTGAAGTTAGTACTTGCAATCTAAGGGCTATAAGTGACCCAATTTACTAGTGGTTGTATTTCGAACTATATCTTCAACAATTTAACAAGACTTTGATTAAAAATTTCTAAAAATAATTATTATCATATTATTAAACTTTGTAGAAAATTTTTGTGGCATTTAGAGTTTGGATTTTTGAAATATGAAGAAAATAGTATTTGGGTGCTTCTAAATTAGGATTTAGAGCATCTACTAGGATTTTTAAGATGCCAAATGATTTGTAGTAGATTTATGGTTTATTATTTTAGTAATAAAGCTTAAAGATAAAGTCTATATCATCTACAAATTTGAAAAAATTGAAATTTTGGATCAAGAGATACGAATTTCTAAAATTTGGGAAAAAAATCTTTTGCAATGGAAAATTGTTTTAAAAGGGTTTTGCCAAAATTTGAGCATTTTATGCAAAGTAAAGGGATTTTTGGAAGCTAAGAATTTATATACATATTAAAGATGGAAATATGGAGATATGAAAAAATTATGGTATAAAGATGGATTTTTATGAAAAGGTTATAAATTTCCTATGACCTCATTGGAAATCAAGCTTACTAACAAATAATTTAATTATGACTTGGTATAGGAAAGGATGTTAAGAAATTTCTAGATGCTTTAGAAGGCCTTATGAATAAACCTCCTTAATAATAAAAATATTTTATTAAAAGAATATCTTTTAATATTATTATATTTATTTGGCTTCTATAATAAGAATACATCACTTATTGGAACTTGTCCAATAAATTAAAGCTAAATTCTATACAATTAGATACTTGATGTATTTCTAGATAGAAAATCACATTATATGATAATGTGGTTGCTACTTGCGTTTGATTTTGAGGCTTACAAAGAAAGCTTGAGATTCTGAGACTGAGCCTTTTATGACTGTTTCTTCTTATAGAAGAATTACAATTAATATTAGAAGTATTGATGTTCTAGTTGTATATAATATTTGTATGACAATACCATATTGTGATGGCATAGATCTCATTAAAGAGAATATTTCTATTTTTGATGGAATTATTACTCCAATAGAGTGATATTGTTGGAAAAGTGTTTTGAAGTTATATAAATATTATGTGATGGATTTATTTGTTTTCATTTTTTGTGTTATAAATTTTTCTTATAGATGTGCTTGAGTGACTATGTCATTGACTTATTATGTGTTTTCAAGAGCTAACCATGCTTCATTTGCAGTTTTGCATGTTCCAATATGTAAAATTCCAATATGTAAAATTTTGCATGTTCCAATATGTTCCAATATGATGTTGTCTATACAATCCCAAATGTTGATAAGAGCAACTTGATCTTTCTTTTTCCATGCAAGTATTATAACTTGATTTGTTAGAGTTGAGTCTATTGTAGCATTTGGTCTTGGAATAGGTGTTGGTTTTTTCTCTTATCACATACTATTTTTCACATTTCTACTATTTCAAACTTCATTTTTATTTTCTGTCTCAAAAATTGTGTACCAAAAGCCATCAAATTTCGGCCAATCCTTGGATGAAGGCTATTTCCAACCATGTTTTTCGAGAACTATTGGTGCCCCAGTTTCTATGAGGAACGTCTTCAACACGGCCTCTTTCCTGGTGAGTGAGCTTGTTTACTACTTTTTTGGAATTTTTAAAATTCTCAAAAAGCAAGCTTTGATACCATATTGAAACTTAGATATAGGATTTGTAACAAGATGTAAGTTCTATTTTGAGTAATAAACATACATTATATATATTTTTTTTTTCTTACATATTGTTTTATGCTGTTGAAGAGGGTGCATCCAGAACGGTTTCACCCTTTCGACAGGGTGTGACGCTTAGTATTTAGTTAACCTTCGACTTCTAATTAAAATAGCTGAAGTTAGACTTCTGCACTCTCCAACTCGAAACGTAGACATACCAGTCATTCATTTCAGCTGCATAATGATTGCTTGATTTTGCAGCCCAGGCAATTGGTGCCAACAAGGGTGATACACGACAACGATTCAAACCTCATGAGTATTGTCTTACTAGGTCATGCCACAAATGCCTAAGTGATCTAATTGTAAAAGTTCTGGCTTTTCACCTTCTCTCTGTATTATATTCTTATTCATCCTTTTTGTTAATTCTTTTCTTTCAGCCATATCTTTGTCATGCACTTGGTTCATGAAAGTTGATCTATGGTCTTACGGTACTCTGAGGATCCTGTCGGAAGCATAGTACTTGATTTTTTACATAATATCTTTAATGGGCTGCTTGAAGCCTTTTACATGCTTAAATATTTTATCAATTGCACCTGGTAAAAAAGAGGTACAATGGTTGAAGGCAGAGCATTTTCTGTCACAATCCAGCCTTTCCCAAAGGAATCACTGGAATGGACTCATTCTCAGTCTTCACAATGAAAATGTCAGTTTGAATCTTTCAACACATTAGCGAAGGCAGCATCGTAGTTGAAATGGGTTCCCATGGATTTCATCAATCGCAGATACCTGTGATTTCAAAGTTGCATTAAACCCTGCAGCAAAAGGCTTTTTCTGACTCATTGAAGTCTTGTAGTTTATACTGGTGCCATGTGCAAGATGGCTGAAATTTCAGAAGAATAATCCTGAAAACAACTGAATAGCTTCTTTCATAAAGGAAGTCATCAACGAAAAAGGAAATCCTGTTGAACCAAAATGGTTCCTGGTCTTTGTTGACATCAATCAAGAGCTTGGATTTATCTGTAGAGATGATAGTTGATATGTGAACCCAATCAATTAGTACATTGAGTCATTACTTGATTGAGTGGCTAGCTTGTTAAGAACCCAGCACAGTAATTGCATTCACATAATGATAAATACCTAGCTCCTTGAATCTTGGAGTTACATCAAGTAACACACTACTGTAGTTTGCTTTCATGAACACTCATCGCAACCAGGGCTCGGGCGATCAGATCTCCCCTTCAGTACTGTTGTTGATGCGAGGAAGGATTGCAGTGTCGAAATTATGTTAACCTTGTTGCCCACAAGTTACGTTCTGGAATCTCGTCGGTGTAAGTGGAGGTAATCATTTGAATTACTAAGTATTGTGCCAATGTACACACAACTATGTGTAATATGCCACGGGGAGCAAGTGCTTTGTTGCTGGCATCGGACGTGATAATTTTACAGGCCGAAATGGACCCAGCTCCTTATGTAACTTCGTGAAACTAGTCCATGTCGGCAATCGGTACCGGCAATGCAACTTCAATTCTTCCAAGTAATAATTGACACGATACTTTTCCTACGCCACGAGATTGAGGGATTGACCAAGTGGTTACCGTCGCGGAGACTTGGTATTTGAAATTACTCATTGTCAGGGAAAGAAATTGTTAGGATTTGGTCACGACTCACAGGGACAGAGGACAATGACTTATCCATCGCTGCCATGGCAGCTGTGCTGCGCACTCCCAATGGCAGTGCAGTCGACGGTACATTCGAAGCTACTCACCCACTGTCAGATGAGTTCTCGGTCAAGGTAGAAGTGTCGTAATTTCACAACATTAGATTCCCATCTAAGTTTTTTCGAAACCCCAGTAGTATTCACCGTCCAGTTTGCTCGTCACACCAGAGACACATCCGGAATTCGAGAGAATCAACTCCACTTAAATTGTGTGTATTTGAATGTGCACTTGCTTGCGTTGGAAGTGGAGAGATGCATAGCAAGAATTTCAGAGCATTTGAAGAGACAATTCCTTGTTAGACTCCGCGGAAGTTGTAGTGCTGTGTAGAATAATTTGCAAGAGTTGGAAGGATACGTGCTCCAAGTTTGACGACGTAGTGAACTTCAACGGCCTTTGAAGTAAGATATTTGGTGCACTATTTGCGTTATATGTCAGCCTAAGCAGGGAGGAGATTATTTTCGAGTTTGTGAGCCATACTGAGCTTGAGTTGATCTGAACTGGGGCGGTCGCAGGAATACAAGGAGGGCTTTTAAGTGCTTCTTTCGTGGAGTGAAATTCCTCACAGCTTGAAGAATTGTACAGTTGGGAAGCATGAGAAAAGCCATAAAATAGCAATAAGCTTAGTTTCCCAAGATAGGAATCGAATCAAGAGGATCCATTTCGATATGCAGTTCGATGCGACACCTTCGTCGATCGTGCAACTGATTTACTCTGTGGCGCGGTGACAATGAGGTAACTTCTCAAATTCTTCGTATACGACACTGTTTCTCGAACCACACACTTTAATAGATCAAATTAATGAAATTGATTCGATCGTAAGAGCAGACGTGATTCTTCATGGGGACCCTGTGAATGAGTCACTCAAACTTGGAGCCTAATCCACTGGCAAACTTGAAGGTCCGGGCAGGGCAGTGTACCCTGGCCTCTAATCCCTCGCTGCGTAAGTATTTTGCATTGACTCTAGCCAAATTACATGTGTTCATAATAGTTAAGCCAATTCGGTACAGCAGTAGTTGAAGGGATGGGTAAAGCCAGTCGCTGTTTGAATGGGGAAAGAGCAAACGTGGATGGGAAACGGGAGATGAAAGACTTTCAATGTAAGCCCTCTAAATGCAAAGTGAGAACCACACAAATAATAGAGAGAGTCGTGAGATTCTTTGCTTTACTTTCGTTGCTCGCCCCGTCGGATTGCACGCAAATTTTACGAGGTTACAGAGAAGGCAGGAATCTATCTGCTCAAGCGAGTCAATTGAGACAACTTAAGCAAGCCCCGGATCCCGTAAACACCTACAATATTGAGCTGGTATGCTCAGCCACAAGGTACCCAGCATCATGCCTTTCGGCTTTGCTACTCGATGCACGATCAGTGAATGCGCCCCCGCGGCGATTGGTGGAAATATTGACCGCCATTTCAATGGAGCATTCTCTGGCTGCACTTCTAGACGGGCAGACATTAGCCACTCTTGTACCCACAGCCAACAACGTAAATCTCACCGCTGTGTCAGCGCAGTGCATGGAATTGCTTGACCTCGCAGCCTACCACATGCAAAACTCTGAGGCAGCATTCCCCGCAAGGTTGTTTCAGGACATTCTAGCATGGCTTAGTGGAGCTTTGCAACAAACCAATGACTGCTACTATGCTCTCACACCATTCCGATCATCTACATCATCGCTTGCATTCGTAACCGAGATGACGGATCGCTTGAATACAACTGTGGAGCTCATCAGCAATTCATTGGCGCTCACCGGTTCTATGGTATCCTATGGATCTGATGCGACAGGGTGGAAATCGCCCCCAGAATCTAGAGTCGATCAACTGCTCGAACTAAATGAGACTTCAAACACCGACATATCTCCAGGGTGGATGGGGGTAGCAGACCGAGCTTTTCTTCACGCCCCATCTCCGCAGGCTGCTCTTGACCTTGGGGAACTGGTTGTGACGGTGGCGCTGGATTCCATTTCACCCAGTATCCAAGCTGCCGTGAATGACGCGCCTTCTTGGTGCCCCACAAGGTATTTAAAGTGTATCTACTTTATTTGAATCTAAATCGGTTTGATCATTTCAGGATGGCATTGATTTTGAACTTATTTCAATATTGTTCTAAAGTTTTCAGGTGTTCATGTTGACAGTGATTTTCTTGTGGCTTACGCAGGTACGTAATCTATATCAAAGCAGGCGTTTACAATGAGATCGTGCGCGTACCGAAGGATAAGATCAACCTCATGTTCGTCGGGGATGGAAGCAATGCCACCATCATAACGGGAAATCTGCATGTCCAGACACCCGGAATCACCACATGGCTGTCGGCTACCGTTGGTGAGTGAGGCCAATCTGTGCTCACTTGCCATTCCTCTGAGCACATCTATTGTAGGTCGTTACCTGATTACATTCTGGTTGGCATGAGCAGCCGTAACTGGGGCTGGATTTATTGCACGAGGGATCTCCTTCGAGAACACTGCCGGGCCAGAACAACATCAAGCAGTGGCATTGAGAGTGGAGAGTGACAAATCTGCGTTCCAAGATTGCGCTATCCTGGGCCATCAAGATTCTTTATACACCCATTCATTGCGGCAGTTTTTCAAAGACTGCACCGTGGCTGGTACGGTGGATTTCATTTTCGGAAACTCCGCAGCCATGTTTCAAACATGCAACATCGTTGTCCGCGTCGGTCAAATGAATGGGTCTAGCACTCGCCTGCTGACCGCACAGGTATCTTTCATCTCTTCTGCTGCTGTGGTCATTTGTAGTGCAAGCATCTTGAGTCAGAGGATTTAACTACTGAAGTTATCTGCTCACACAGGGAAGGATTGACCCTGGCCAGAAAACATCACTGGTATTTCAGAATTGTTCCGTTTATGGGACTCCAGAATACAACGCCCTACAACGAGCACAACCTACGCAGCACCGTGTGTACTTAGGACGGCCATGGAAGCAGTACTCGCGCACTGTCTTCATCTATACATACATGTCTGAGATTGTGCAGCCACAGGGGTGGTCACCATGGAAGGGGCAGTTTGCACTTGACACACTCATGGACGCGGAGTATGGCAGCTATGGGCCTGGGGCTGCCAATGTGAGTCAAAGAATAGCGTGGTCGACTCAGTTGTCGTTTCAGCAAGCGCAAAGATTCTCAGCTCAAAGGCTTGTACAAGCTGATTCCTGGCTGCCGGCGGCTGCGATAACGTATTTGCCCCTAGTCTGACCATCCAGCAGCAGCCAGATCGAGTTAAGAAACGGATTCCATGCAGTACCCTTCTATACCTGTTAATACCATGCTCATGATTGCTAGAAATTGCAGCCTACATGGTGGTGGTGAGGTTTTACAAAAATCCCACCATTTTTTAGGTTAGTATGGTTCAATTACAAGCTGTTTACTAACTACGCTAATGAATTATTTATATTCACCAAGACAACGTTGCTTGGGGGGTCCAAGCATCGTTGTAGAACCAAAAATAGCTTGGCATCCTGGCACCCCATCCTTCCACCGATCCATGAATCCAGTTATGCAGCACATAAACCCCTCTGCTCAATGCTGGTTCCATCACAATCTCATGCTACCGGTAACCGTCCACAACTCCATTTGCGAAGGTCCATCAGTTCAAGAAGCTGGTCTTCAGTCCACTCGAGCCTGCGTTGTAGCGACCAGCGTCAAAAAAATGTTGCAGGCCACGGCAGCGTTTTGTTCTCATTTCCCACTCTAGGACGAGACATTGAAGTCTTGGCAGAAAACCTTAGAACTAGTTCTCCTACTTTAATCCATGCGGAAAACATCTGGTTCCACTCGCCTCCATCTTCCACTTCAACTGATACAACTCCTAAACGAGTCACCTCTAATTTGATAGTGGAATCCTTCTGAATCCTAATATTCATCCAAGAGAAACCCTTGCCAAATCAACTCCACAGCAATGGCCGATATTGTGGGCGCAGTAGCTTCCATCATCAAGGCCAATTCCAATTGCTTGCCGAATGTGCTAAAATATTATGTATATGCACATATTCATCAAAAGTTAATAGTAGAGCAATGACCAGAAGCATTCATGCACAGCCTGTTTGCTGTTCTCCTGTTTACATAATTTCGCCAAATTGTTGCCCATATATATGCCGTATATACAGCGAAGCCACGCAGACTCTTGTCAACAAAGATGCCCCATCTTTGTATTGCTGGACACAACCTCCACCTCACAAGCCAGAAAATACAATACCCCCTCCGGAAAGAGAACTTTCGCAATCTTTTCCTAGTGTTAGAAAGAACGTTTCGCGATCTAAGCATCGGGATTATCAAGAAGAAAGGAAACCCCGAATGTTTCTTGCTTCTCTCTAGCCATTAAAATTGAGCACGATGCTACAATTTGGCATTGGCCAAGTCGTCCAGAACGTTTTCCAATCCTGCATTGAGGATGATCACTTCTCGTACTTATGCCAGAGAAGAAGCAAGGTGATGCACCGCCGCACAATGTACAGCTTACTATGCTGATGCCTAATGAACGTAAGCGTATTCTTGGTTCCATTCGATATACAATTGGTGTGCAGCGAGTAAATTCCTCCAGTCGACCGCCTCTTTCCTGCAGTGTTCTTCCACGAATCGTTCTCATCACTGGTTAGAGTCTCTTTCCCATAACACTGGCCCATCCTTGAGATTCCCTAATTCGAGATTTAGCAATCACAGTGGACTTCGTAAGATAGATCCTTCTATCAAGACCAAAATAATAGCTTAAAAGTTTGACAAAGCCCAACTCCTCCAATGATGCGCAGATCGAGCACGGCTCTCTATGAATTCCACTTCACACTCCTACAAATCCCTCACAGAGCATCTTATAGACAGAGCAAAGTGAATATGAACCACCACGGGAAAGCGAAACTCTAGACTGGATCAGACACATTGTGAACTGCTCACTTCTCAGCCTTCGAACAAGACGATAACGTGATACCAATAGCGAAAGGAAAGCAGGGAAAGGGCTGCCGGCCAGATAATCGAGTGACCGCCTAATTTAGACCCCAAATCATTACTTAAGCCGCTCGAAGAATTCGTTTGAAAATTATTAGAATATGTGCAAGTGATCGGACGGGGCCAGATGACCACGGTCCAATCTCAGAAAACGAACTCGGCACACTCCAAGCCCACCGAGCCACCCAGCTCACCAAACAAGTAATCCAGAGCCTGAACCCTAACCTTGGCAAGGCCTTACGCCAGCGTCACAATTCAAATCTATAAGACACTTGAAAAATCGAGGAAATCAACGCAATGCCGGTAAGGCACTGCCGACGGATCCAGCACAACCAGACACAGACAGCAAAGAAAAGATAAAGAAACGGAAGTACAAAGGAGAAGGAAGAGGACACGGGAATAGAAATAGAGAGCCCAAATCATCCTCCCGGCCTCACAACTCAATCGACTGGATCGGGCGATTTGGACCGCAAGATTCCGAAGATCACTTGTGAACCATCGATGCACTGGGGAACAAGAAGTGGGAACGACGGAAGGGAACAAGAGAGGGGAGTGAGTGGGCAGCGTGTTGGGCAGTGGGGCGGGAATGAATTGTGTCTACGTGACGCCCCTTGTGCTCAGTACTGGAGGGGTTTGGGCTCCTTGTGATTGGACCCCGAGGGGTCTTGTGCTTTTGTGTCCGGAATCAGAGGGGTCGTGTGCTCTTGTGCTCCTTCCCATGGGGCTGACCCTAATCTGACAATTGCAGTCATCCGCCATCGAAACTCCACACCATTTCTCAAGTGATGGCATAACTTTCACTACGTCCAATCTTCATCAATACAATTTTTTTTCTATAGGCTTGATCATATTTATATGAGAAATTACATATTTGTATACAAGTATCTGGTTCTTTTCATACAAGCAAATGCTTTATTTTCACAGATGATGTATTATTTGTTTATTTCCTGACCTACTTTGTTATGGAATCTCCTTAAAAAAAATTTGGTTATATTTTCATGTTTATGTGTAATTTCTTCTTATTTCACCTTTTTTATTAATTATATTCTATTTAAAAATTCATTCATTTAACGATCAAATATTGTTGCAATGTTTTTATTAAATAATACAACATCATAATAAAATTAAGTTTGAAAAACCATTTTTTATGCCGAATCTTATCTTTAATCTTTTTAAGAAAATAATAATAAAAAAATAGCATATTTGTAAAGATTTTAATGCTATATTTGGTGTAGAAAGAATATATTTAACTTTCATAGCTTTTGCTTCATTTCAATTTTTGTTTTCATTACAAAATATTTTGCACAAGTTAATGTGGTTGTCGTAACAATTGCAACAACTAATATAAAGCTCAAACTTAGTATCTTTCGTATTCTATAAAAAAAACTTTTGATTTTTCATATAAGAACTATATACATAAATTTTAAAAAATACTTATATTAAAAAGACTAGGTAAATCTACCAACTTATAAACGTGATTAGATTTTAATATACATATGTTTTTATATTTTTATCAACTCATTATAAAATATTTTTTATTTAAATTAATAATATCAAATTGTGGTTATTGTTAAACTATCCAAAGCTTAAAAATGAATAATAATTATTCATAATATTACTTTCAATAATCTTATTTGTATTAAAAATATATATATATTTTAAAAATATAATAATTACCTTAAGGAATGAACTAATTTATATGCAGTTCAAAAAGTAAAATTTAAGAATACCTTGGTTATATAATTAAATTTAATATTATTTTCATTTCTATATGGCGGTAAAAAGTTTTTTAATAAGTTTTTAAATAAACTACTGAATTTTAAAATTATAAATAGATAAAAATAAAATAATAGTATAAAAAATATTTTAGATATTCAATATATACTTATATAATATTAATAATCTTCATCATTTTTATTATAATTCTTATTGAAATTTTATTAACTCAATTAAATCGAAAATAGTTATAAAAATATTATAATATAAGAATTTTTTAAACATTCAAATTTTAGATGTTTAAAAATTTCAAATTTTTAAACATTCTAATTTTATTAGAAAAAAATATTTAAGTTGTATATTTTGTATTTTATTAAAAATTACTTATAATGTAAAAAACTTTATAAAAATGAAAGTATAGTAGACCAAATAATAGCTTTTGATTCTAAACTATTGTGAGTGTATCTATATATATATATATATATATATATATATCTTTCTCTCTCTCTATATATATATGTACATATAATTTTACTAATTAGTTAATTTTTTTTGTAATAATATTTCCATTAAAATGTATTAAAAAATACATTAAATTTTATATTTTAAATTATTTTATTTTATATATCTTTTTTATTGATTATAATTATTAATTTAATAATTATTTTCTCTATTTTATTGAAGGTATTTTTCTAAAATAATTTAAGAATACTATATTTTTCTATATGGTCTATGCTATATCTTTAGGATTTTTTTCTTAAATCCTATTGCATTCTAAGATTTTGCATTAGAAATATACTTATTATAATGATTAGTTAGAAAAAACAATTCCAAGTGATGTTAATAACATGGTATGGTCTATCGAGCATAAATATAGGGAAGTTCTAGGTAGACATCTCTATTAATGACATGGATACCTTGTAATAAACACAATCATATATGTTTATTGGAAGAGTAAGCTTATTAAGTATAAAACAATAATTTGGATTGTGTCAAGTTTGATTTTTAACATTTATGATATTTTGTTTTATTTTCAGAGTAACAAATATTCATAGCTTTTTGCAAGATACATTTCAAAAACACCTTCAATTTTTGAGCTACAACTATTTTTAATAAAAAAGAGATGATATCAGTATTAAATCATACATTGCTTTTGGAACTGTAGAAATTAGTTCCAAATCAAAATATATCTATTCAAAGATATAGTTATGTTCTTATAATTTTAAATTCCTTTTTATTTGAAAATCTACTATAATATTGTATTAAAAAAATTATGTTAATAATTTAAAATAAAATACTAGAGATTGAAAATAAACTTTTTTACAAAATCCAATTATCTATACATCTATATAAATATATATATATATATATATATATATATATATATATATATTTGTAGTAGAAAATAGTAGAATAAATAAATTATTAAGTGAGGTCCAAAGATAGAATAAATCAAGTAATTAATAGATTTTTAAAGATAGATGTAATCAATACAAAATAAATTAATAAGAAATTTATTTTAATTATATAATTAAATATAAAAATTAAATATATTTATTTATTTAATTTATTTTATAATATAATTTGCATGCATCTTACAAATTAAAAAAATAAAGATATCAAATATGTATATAAATTTTATATTTAAAAATAAAAAGTATAATTAATAATATTTTTTAAAATTTTTGTATTACATATATGATTAAATGATATATTCTGTTAAATTATATATAAAAAATTAATATTTAAAACTTTGTATATATATATATATATATATATACATATATTTATATCTATATTTTCATAAAATATATCAAATTTTTATTTATTTATAATACATCCTTTGGGCCTTTTCACATAAAATTCTGAATCAACTGATCAAATAGATACAAATTCAATGTGACACAAATTTTGCATAAGAAAGGTTTTATCAACTTATAACATCATGTAGAATGAAGTACAAAAGAATCTCTAAAAAGATAAGGTATTTCTTTTTAATTCTTCCTTAACTTAATCATTATCCTCAACTTAATCTTAACTATTATAATACATCTCAAAGATGGAATAATATTATAAAAATAACAAAAAATAAAAAAGAAATAGATATAGTTGAAGTTAATAATTCATGAAAAAATATTACTTTAAAAAAAAAAAAATCAATAGAGAATATTGCTTTATTGAGATATATATACAAATAGTAGATAAAATAATTTCTAACAACATAATAAATGACATATGTAACATCAATATTATGCTTGAATCTAGCAAGAACAAATTAGAATTGAAAATCTCTCTTAAGGTAATTATAAAGATGAAATTAGCTAATCAAAGACCTATTCAATATGTAAGTCAAATCCATTATTTTTACATGTAAGTAAGAGGT